ATATATATATATATAGAGAGAGAGAGAGAGAGAGAGAGAGAGAGAGAGAGTGTGTGTGTGTGTGTGTTACAAAGGACATTTAATTTATTTACGAAACAGTTTATTTAAGAAACAATAAAGATATTTCCTGTAAACGCAAACGCAATATCAATGTAATTATTTAATACATTTATTCTTATTAGTATAATTATTTATGTTTACTACTACAGTGAATCCGTTTCATATTTTTGTATGCCTTTGTTTGCTATTGTGCACTCTTTTGATACTTGAAATGGCGTTGTAAACTCTTGGTTTTGTTATCGATCTTAGAACTGATCCCAATGAGCGCAATGCCGTTCTAATAAAGAGTCCACATGTTTTTAGAGGGAGAAAATAGAATAACCTAGTACAGACACTGCGCGTGTCACAATGGGACCGCGTAAACATTACCGTTGGGGAAGAGTCATCCGTTGAGTAGTCATAAAACATCTTCGCAAGTGTAAAAATACAGCATGGTTGCTTATGAGGAAATGTGTAATCCTTTTCATCCTGAGGGTAACCAAAAACCAGTAACGTAAGTACTTGTTGAAATAAAAAGCTTTAAAGTTGTCGCCGTAGCTTAGTGGATAAGTGATGAAGCTTGTGTTCGGAGTTCCTGGGTTCGATCCTTGTCAGTGTTGTTTGGTTTTTTCCACAGTATAATCTTCGGATTCGAAGAATAACTAAAGAACAAGTAAATAAGGCGCGACTGCCGCGTGTCACAGATGGGCCGCTGCATCATTGCCGCTTGCGAAGAGGAGTCGCGGTTCGAATCCCGCCCTTTTCGAGAGATTCCCGTGGAGCCTCGTAACGAAATTAAAGTAAATATAATATTACAAGTTCGTTACGTGGCTCTCGGAAAAGTCTCGTAATTTATAAGTTACTATTTAAAACTTATAAGTTGCAGTACGAGGCCTTTCCACGGGAATCGCTCGGAACAGGCTTCCTCCGCGCGGAGTCGGGGCGTCTTGAATCTTCTTCCGAAAGCACATAGCATGAAGGTCCATCGGGGGGCGTTTTTGCCAAAAAAGTTATGCTGAATGTTATGGAATATTCATAAAATGCCCTACACATGGCATACGACTTACTAGGGACCGGAAGTCCTCCCGAAAAGCAGAGCAGACGGGTTGGCGGGCTGGGCCGGAGGCGTCCCGGGAGCACGGCGCCTCGAACCCGAAATCCTCGCTTTGTTAGGTCTCATGCAGCCATGCGCACCAGGGCACGAAGGTACAGCCCATAATTTTCTATATGAAGTACAACAGTTAATACTTTTCCACATGGTAAAAATACGCTGCGCCGATTCCTTCAAGATACGAACACGCAGCTCTGGCACAAGGCAGAGACTTTGCCACTGTGCAACTACTGATCACATGAACATGCCATTCTTAAGAAGTTTAATTACTTTCTATTTACAAATGTCTTCGGCTTCTACATACACTCTCCTAACATATATAACTATTTTGCAGCATATACAATAATGAAACATATGTAAGTTAAAATTGAGCCGGAAGTACTGACAACTTTTTATCATGACAATAGGCCAACACATTTAGTTTAAAAAAGGGCAAATAAAAAGTATTTATTCTGCTACATAAAGTGTGAAAAAATATATGAGAGCTAAAAAAAGCTTTGTAAAATAAATGTTAGAAGAAACTCAGCTTTAAAAATGTTTACACTTCTATCTTTCTCTAAATTTACATTCACACTAATATAAATATTATTTTCTTTGGCAATCTTCACTATCACATTGATACAGTTTTTTGATTCAGCATATAATTTTAGTTTTCAGATTCAGTGCAAAACTTAATGTTATTGCTTATTTATGCTAAAATTTATTACTAAAAATAATACTGCATTTTGTATCGTTTTAGAGGAAAATATAGAGAAAACGTGACAGAGGAGACTGCTGCTGTCACTTAGAAGACCGCGTAAAGCATTACCGTTTACGAAAGACTCATCCGTATGTACAGTCACAGTCTATGAAAGTGCGTAAAAATTCAACATCGAATTATGAAGGAATGTGTTAAATCCTTTTCATCCTGACGGTAACAAAAAGCAGCAACATAAGTACTTTAAAACAAGGACTCGGGCGAAGGTGCCGTAGCTCCCCAGTGGCTTAAAAAGTGGTCCCGTCATTGTGTTTGGAGTTCCTGGGTCGAACCGTGTCATTGTCGTTTGGTTTTTTGCCACAGTATAGTCTTCAGATTTCGAGGAATAATAAAAGAACAGTAAGATAAGGTCGACTGCCGGCGTGTAACGCATGAGCGCGCGTGCATGCATTGCCGCTTGCGGAAGAGGAAGTCGCGGGTTCGAATCTCCGCTTTTCGAAGAGATTCCCGTGGAGCTCGTACCGAAATTAAAGTAATATAATATTACAATGTTCGTTACGTTTGCTCTCGGAAAAGGTCTCGTAATGTTATACAGTACTATTAAACTTATAAAGTTGCATTTACGTTGGCCTTTCACACCGGGAGATCTCGGAAGGGTCTCTCTCCGCCGGAGTCGGCGCGCTCTGTATCTTCTTCGAAAAGCAATAGCATGAGGTCCCATCGGGGCGTTTTGCCAAAAAGTTTATGCTGAATGTTATGAAATATTCATTAAAATTGCTACACATGGCATCACACTGGGAGACCTCCCCAACAAGAGAGCAAGGGGCGGCTTGGCGGAGGCGTCCGGAGCACGGGCAGACCTCGAACCCCAATCTCCGCTTGTTTAGGTCTCAATCTAGCCATTGCGCCAACCAGGCACGAAGGTACAGCCAGTAATTGCTTCTATAATGAAGTCAACAACCAGTTAGATACTTGTTCACATGGTAAAAATTACCGCTCCGATTCCCTTCAAGATACGAACAACGCAAGCTTCGCGCCCAAGGCAAGGACTTTGCCATGTGCAACTTACTGAGCATCACGATGCAAACCATTCCATTCTTAAGAAGTTTAATTAGCTTCTATGTTAAAATGTCTTCGGCTCTCACATAATCTTAATATATGCAAACTATTTGAGCATTATACATAATGACAACATATGTATGTAAATGAGCCCGGAATACTGAACCTTTTTATCATGACAATAGGCAACAACATTTAGTATTTATAAAAAGGGCAAAAAAAAGTATTTATTCTGCCTAATAAACCGTGTGAAAAATATATGAGAGCTAAAAAAGCAATTGTAAAATAGAATGTGAAGAAACTCAGTTAAAAATGTTTAACACTTTTAATTCTTTTCTAAAATTTTACAATAGCATAATATAATATTTTCTTTGCAACTATCAATCACGATGATGATCATTTTTTTGATTCAGCCATATTAATTTATTGTTTTCAGATTTCAGTGCAAAAATTAAAATGTTATTGGCTTCATTTATGCCTAATTTTAACTAAAAGATATATGCATTCTGTATCGTTTGTAGAGAGAAAATATAGAAAAAAGTAACAGAGGAACTGCGCTT